TAGCTGATGTTTCTCCTCAGTTTCAGAAGTAGTAACGCCACAGGGAAATCCTTTTCTCTTGCTTTCCAGTCAATTGAATAATAAATCCCAGAGCTTATTCCAGTGCATTAGGATTGCTATTTGAGGTCGTTACACACGAACTCTTTCATAAGTTTAATTCCCTTATTTCTCTCCAAGATGTAGTGTCATATGCTTGGAAAAACGTGCCTGCTCTCCCATGCATACAAAGGATATAAATGTAGGATGAACAGTTCTCCTGTGAACAGGATAGACAGAGGCTCTGGGTGTGTAGCACAAAGGCATGTTCTCAGGTTTGGGAACAGTGTGGATGGCTGTGTGCTGCTGGCTGGGCACAGATGGAGGGCCATCTGCTTTGTAGATTGTGCACAGGCACAGGTGTCCTCAGGCTGCTAACTGAAGGCCTTTTGATCTTGTCCAGACATGCTGTCTGGGAAGCCTTCCTCCTTGCTGGTAGGGAAGTGCAGTGCTGCTCTGCAATAGCACTGAGATCTATTTGTTAATAAAGGCAGGAGCTGGTGATTACTCTGGTGGCATAGAAACATCTGTCTCTGTGTCCTTTGTCTTTTTTCTTGGGACTGAGAGAATGCAAAATACTGCTCTGTACAACTTGGGATGGGAGGCGTGTAAGTTTCTGTTTTCTGGGTTTTAGACTCCTGATAAATTGCGCAAACCAGATGCGCTCAGAGTTAGAGAGTCCTCTTCCTCCCCTTTGGCAAAGACAGGAGACATGTACAATGGCCTCAACACTCCTGCAGCTGCAGGTTTTGTTTTTTGTCCAGTGTCTGCAGAAGTGTATTTGAAACTCCTGGTTATGTTTTTCCCCGAGGAACTACTGCCTTTGTGCTAGGGAAGCTGGAAGAGATGGGGCTGCAGGAAAAAGAGCACAGGTCTGATTTGGAGGGATGGTCTCTGCCATGCTTGTGATGGCAAAGGTACTCCTTGTCCCTGTGTCAGCGGTGGCACTGGTTTGAGGTGTAGTTATCTCATCTGTATATAGAGAAGCCACTCGGTGCAATCAGTGTCTGGTAGGCTTTGAGAGGATAGTTACAGTGGTCTCTCTGGAGTGGGGATGGTGGTTTTGGGAACCAAACTGTTTTTGATGGCTTCTCTGAGAAACAGACTCTCTGAGTACACCCATAGGATATTCTTTTCTATGTTAATACTTTCAGCTCTTTCCAATCTTCTTTCTTTCCAAGGCAGCCAAGTACTTCAAGATTAGGTTACTTAATCTGACATATTTGAAATCTGATTTCAGAACACTCTCATTTTCTATGGGGAATTCTAGATCTTTGGCATGTCTGTAAATCAGGCTATGGGTCCCAAAAATGACAGGAACTATCACAAGCTTTGTTCTGATCTTCTTTTAATGCAGAAATAGCACTTGTTATAATGAAGATGGATTGTCCTTGTTTGAAAGACAATATGCCAGTTATAGGTACAGGGTTGGACCTACTTGGTTGATATGTGACTTCATTGCCATGAGAGTAGCAGGTAAAAGAAAGCTTGGATTCCTTGGTTTCCAGAATATCTGCCAGTCAAAAACGCAAGTTCATTCCTCTTGTTATTCTGAAATCCACCAGTAAGTGAAGTTGAAATTTTCAACCTGGAACTTGAACTAAAACGAACAGAAGCCTCTGAAGGTCACTGAGGTCTCCTCTGGCACAAACTGCAATGGCTGAATGAATCACACTAACAAAACCATCTCTTGTGATGTGGAAACGAGTTTCACGCCTTCCCTTTCACATGATCTTCGTGTACAAACAGCTTTGTTTGCAAGTGTCAAAGGGCAGGGGAAATCCATAAAGGAGGAAGGTATTTCCTGTGTGTGACGGGCTGTCCTGCTTGGGTCATGGCAGAGATCACGCCTTTCTTGTTGACCTGATTTTTTGAGGCTCTGATCCAAGAATGTGCCACTCTTTCTCTTTTCTGTGTCATGTCTGGCTGTTGTGTTCAGTGACACTTCCTTGACAGCAAGTGGAGCATATCCGTGTGTGCTGAGGCGTGAGACTTGTTGGCTGGTGTCCCTCAATGTGTTCTGACTTCTCCAGTACTTCTAGCTTCATACCCCCAAATCAGTTAATCAGTCATCTTGTGCTCCCTCCCCAAATTACCACTTCCTGGGCAGTCACTTAGAGAGACACAAGCAAGAGAGACTCTGTTTCCCAAATGATGATTGCATGTGGATAAGCTCCTGTAGCTTGTCTGACACTGATCGGGCAGTCTCCAAGCACAGCCAGGTGTTTGATCTGATCTAGTAACAGCAGTGGCTGCTAGTGAAGTTTTCTGGGTTCTTCCCTCAGTGCTGCCCCACTCCCTGGGACCTTGCTGTGAGCCTCAGCAAACATGTTGGTAAATGATGCCTGTCTCTTGCAGTAGAGTGGCAGGTCCTGGGAGCTGGCTTCTCTGTGAAGTGCTTGGAAGCTTTCTGCTGAAGGGGACTGTGTATGCTGAGCACGTCCTTTGGCTGGCTGGGAAGCAAAGAGGTGCAGGTTGTGGCTCATCCTAACTTCTCTCACTGTGGTTTTGCAGATTTCTATGCCAGTATTTGTGGCTTGGGTGACATCCAAAAGAAAGGCTTCCTTATTCTACTACCAATCCCTTTTTCTGTCTGTTGTGTTATCCACATATTTTCATTCTGAGGCTTCTGATCTTTAACAGCTATCTTTTTTCCTCTCCTTTTTCCACGGGGTTTTCCTCTCCTTCAACTGCAACATTTCAGGTATCAGACAGTGGTGATGCTTTGCTAAAGGAGTTTTCTTTGTTACCCTCCTGGAACAGCAGTCAGAAACCTGCATGATGTGATGATACGTGTAACAACAGACCTTGGTGCCATGTTACATGATTGAGGAAAAATGATGCTATGAAGAACACAGCAGCTTTAGAGCGAGTTGGAGCTAGCAAGCTGGGACCACTTCGCATGCCTGACTGCATGATGCTGAACAGAACTGCAAATGTCAGGGCTCTTCCAGGAAATTCAGGGTGGGTGGTAGACTGTGACAGCTGAGTCCACGTTTGTCATGCCCTGAGAAGTCCTCACTTGTTTGAGGATTAAACTATAGCTACTTCCCCGACACAGAACTGCTGCCAAGATTCCAGTCTGGCTCAAGCCACTCTCCACACTTCATAATGAAGTTTGAGAGAGCTTTAACATCTTGGTGTTGGCAGAAACATGGTTTTAAAATCACGGTGTGGTTGGAGACTAGCTGGCTCCGGACACTGGTAACAGGGCTGGAGACTTTCATCTCGAGGTCAAATCCAGCTGGTGTTAGTGACAAAGTCATGAACTTCTGACTGATGGTTCGGGGCTTACGTGTGGAAAGATGTCTCAAGTCCAACGCCAGGACTAGGAGTCAGGAGACTTGGGTTCAGTTCCTGAATGTTGCCAGAGCTGCTCTGAGAGACCCTCAGCAAGACACTTAAAGTCTTCGTGCCTTAGGTCTCTCTGAAAAAGCACTGAGGGTCTACCTACATCAATGTGGTGCCAAGCCTTCAAACTCATGACTGCAAACTCCTGAATACCATTGGATGCAGAAGTGCAAAGAACTAGGTGGGACAAGCTGGCTCTGCCCAGCCCATGTTAGACAAGTACCTGGATCACAGTTGTCGGTATTAGCAATAACTGCCCTGCTTTTTGGCAACTCAGAGGGTGAGGACGTAATGTTCTTGGGAGATAGGGTTGCTCTTCTGTTGCTGGGTGGTGCCGTTCCAAGTGCAGGCAGCCCTGTGTTCAGGAGGAAGCTTGTGCAGGCCTCCTCTCCGGTGGCTATAGAAGTTGGCTTCTGTGTTTGACAGCTGGCATAAATAATCAGCAACAGCTTACTGAGAAATTAATTTCCCAAAGACTGTGGAAACCACGACTGAGCTGCTGCCTTCTTTCCAAGACATACGTGGGCAGCCTCTCCTGGCAAGCCTTTGTTACTGCTCTTCAGAGTAACTGTACCAATGTCACTGCAGTGTTCTCCTGGATGTACACCTGTGCCTGCTACCCCTTGGAGGGGTTTTGGATGATATTCCTGTAATTTCTAGCTCTATTTTGGTCTTGTGGCAGGGCAGTGCTGCAGGTGGAGCAGTCTTCTGGTGGCTCTCGGCACTGCCGGAGGAGGCTCTTCCCCTGAGGACACTCGGGTGCTCGGGGCTTGTGTCTGCCTGGCCTTCCGAGAGAAGCATGAAGCTGCAGCCTGCAACACTGTAATCCCAAAGCTTCAGCCTTTCGTCATGTGTGCCAAATTCCTTTGGCTGTTAAATACGGGTAGGAATTTTGAGGGGAGCTTGTAGAGTAAGACTTCTGTGTTTGCTTTTAGCTTCATGAATAGCAGCAGTGACTTGTCTGGCTGTATACTGGGAAAACTCTGACTTGCCAGCTTTGAAGGGCTGCTGTTTTAAAAGAAAAGCTGGCATTTATGCAACTGTCCATTGTGCATTGACTTCAGAATCACTGGTGCCTTGCACAAGTCTGCTTGTGCCTGCAGGTAGCCCTCTAGTTCCCAGGGGGACGTGGCAGTACTTGTGTTTTAATTGGGACCCTGGGGGTGCTGTGTGCAGTACGCAGAGCTAACAGATGTGTCCTGCAGAGCCTCGACTGTGGTGAGGAAGAG